GTCGTGTATGCAGGGATTTGGGAGTGCAGCAGAGGAGGTGTGGGGCCGGGGTTGATGTGGCTGGGGGTGGTCCAGGCTGACTGTGGCTCTCTCTCCTGCGTCCCCATCCCAGGCTTGGCCTGTCTGCACATCAGCACCTTGAAGGGGAACATCCCGATGATGTCCCTGCTGCTGGAGAGCGGCGCCAACATCGATGTTCGGGTAAGGCTGGGCATGGGTGTGATGTTTGGGTGAGGCTGGGCACGGTGGGTGCAGGGCTCCCTTGGGCATTCCCTCTGGCCTCGGGGCAGGTACTGCTGTAGGGCTTGGAGGCACTGAGTTTTGAGGGAGAAGAGAGGAAAGGTCCTTGCGGGGCTGTTGGGTGCCATGACAGTAGTCGGGGTGGGAACTGCCCCTTCTGCACCCTGTCAAGGCAATGTGGGTGGGTGCTGTGGGGCCCATCTGAGGGGACCCCACACCCATGCCCTTGTGGTTTGCGGATTGCAGGAGGGCACGAGCGGCAAGACCCCATTGCACCTCGCCGTGGAGTGCCACAACCGCAGGGCTGTCCAGTTCCTGCTGCGCAATGGGGCGTATGTGGACGCCCAGATGTACAATGGCTGCACCCCGCTCCACCTGGCCGTGGGCCGCAAGGATGCTGCCATCGCCGCCATCCTCTCGCACTCCGGGGCTGACACCCTGCTGAGGAACATGGAGGATGAGACAGCCCAGGACCTGGCTGACGGCAACGACGATGTGAGTCTGTGTGTGGGGAGGCCTGTGGCTCTGCAAGCGTGTCGGGGGGTGTAGAAGACAGACGATGTGGGGGGAGCTCCTAGGAGGAGGTTCTAGCCATGCCCGTCCTCCCTTCTAGGGTGCAGGCGTTGGCTCTGGGGGTGTGTGGGGTGACTGCCTGTTACTTCCAGCCCTAGGGAAAGCCTAGCCAGGGTTTCTTGGCACTTCCATGGGGAGGTGGGAAGCTGCAGGGCTTGGGGGGGGAAGTTCTGGGCCCTTACCCGAGCCCCAGTGGAGACACAACCCTGGATCCTTACACCTCTGCATCCTTGGGCTTTGCAGCTCCTCGCCTTGCTGCCCTTCGATGACCTGAAGATCTCGGGGAAACCCGTGGTGTGCTCTGAATGAGCGTCTGGACTCCTTTGGCCCATCGGGCTGCCTCCTCGCTCTGCGCTGTTGCCCTGCTGCCCGCTGGGACCTTGCCTGCCTGCAGTTTGGTGGGAGCAGAGCCACTTTGGGAGACGTTATCATCCACCTCTTCCCTCATCGGAAAAGATTTGTTGGCCTCAGGCTGCCTTCTCAGAGAAAAGAAGGTGGCCCTATGAACACTACACAGGGGAGGCTTTTCTTTTAGTACTTGTGCCCCGCAGCAGGACTGAATTTCCCCTCCCTGCCATGGGTCTGACTTGTGGGGGTCTCCAGCTTACCCAGGCAAGGAGCAGGACAGGACTCCTTTTCACACTGTACTGTGGACGGAGCATCCTCTGGCACCCCAAACGCCATCAGAATAAGTGTGGGGTGAGGAGAGTTAATGCTCACTCTAATAAACATTGGTTCTTGCTGTGGGCGCCTGAGGTCTCATGTGATCTAACCCACGCTGTGCCCCTACTGCATGGGGAGGCTGAGCATTACACTGGGTGCCTGGGCATGTGAGGGCTGCAGGGGCTTCCCCAGCCCGCCCGCTGCCTCGGGTCCTGCTCCCTCCCTCGCACAGCAGAAGGTGAGCGAGAGCGCAGGGGCTTCCCCGCTTGCCGAGCCTTTCCAGCGCTCAAGGCTGAGGCTGGGGGATCCCAGCCTGGTGCCCCATTCCCGCGCTGTCCTGCCGAGTGTCTGGCTTCGGGGCTGAAGGCACAGAGCATCAGAGGTGCTGGCAGACCAGGTTGTAGATCCCTGCTTTTGCTGTCGTGCCTGACATCTCGCTGCCTTACTGTGCCGTGATTTCCTCATTGGCAAAGAGGATAGAAAGATCCTGCCCCATCTTCCTGCCTTGGGAGGTGTTAAAAAACTTAGAGCATGGGCCTTCCCTGGGTTTTAGATTCCCCTAGGCTGAAGGCAGAGGAGCTGGCAGGGTTATCTCAGCATCCCTTCTGTTGTTCAGCTCACAGCCCTGCCCTGCCCCCTCTCCAAACCAGAGGAGCGCTTGCGACCGACACACTGGGGAACCGGCAAGAGAAGGTGCTGTGGGAATGGAGACACCCAGCACGCCTGACCCCACCTCAGCCAGGGAAATTCCCCACTTGCTGCCTGGGAGCAGCTGCTATTGTTTGGGGCAAATCCTGGATGTCGCAATCGCCCGGAGATGCTCTGGAGTGAGCTTCCTCCTCACTTGGAAAGACAGAGAGGCAAGGGAATGCTGCCAGGAGAGCGGCACGGGCTCCCCCTAGGCCTCTCTGGAACTTGCCCGGTCTTTTCAGCAGCTCTGGGCCGGATTGCTCCATTTCTTTTGAATCTTTGCCTCCCACCTTCTGGCA